AGTACGCAGACATCAAAAGTCAATCAATGTAATGTCAAAGCTACGTGGCTATCTGCCCAGCTTGGAGTCGCATATCTAAGCCAAGCAGGGGGCGTGAAAGGACCCGACTCGGAGGACTGGGAAGTGAGGAAAGGAATGGGATGGTCCCAGGGTGGTGCACAGCTTGACAGGAATATATTGCACTCGCCGCCCAGCTGGATGCCTTACCATCACCTGTCCACGCCCACCCAGAAAATGGTTGCAACTTTACAGCTTTAAGCTAACTTACCCAGTTCGCAGCCCAGCCCAACGCAGACCACTCTGCAGATAAATGTATCTACGTGCCTGCATGCAGAGATATGGATGCCATTGTTCTGCACAAAAGGCTCCAAAACAATCGGTGGAAAGTAAGCGCAAATAACACAGCAATAAATTGGAAAAGTTCACTCTCCAAATCCCGTTTTGCGCTGAAAATTTGTATTTCAAATGGGTTTGTTCAATTAGTCTACCAGAGTTTAGAAGATTTTTAATTAAGAAGATACTTCCCTTCTCGCACTCGCCAACTTCATATTCCCTATGAGTAACCTAACAAGCATTTACCATTAGCTAAATAACTAATTGAAGTCGTTGGCTAAGCACTGCGTGAATAACAATAAATCTTAAATTAAATGTACGCAATTAAAAATTAAATCCAAATCTAATAGGCTTATAATTATGCACAGCCTCTGCTTTCCAGTATCGCTGCTTTCCAGCTATTACGATTTAATTAAAATGCCATAAAGAGGGAACAGCTGCCGAGATAGCAAACTAGCAAACTGAAAAGTGAGACGAGATTCCAGTGCAGTCCTGGTAAATAGCAGGTTTTAGCCACTCTGGTGGGCTTTTGCCCAGGAGTGGGATGCCATGTCGTGATTACGGAGATGGCCTCACAGTCATTTAACTTGGCATCGCTGCACTTCATTTGGCGCACAAAATGACAGTGGTGTTGGTATTGGACTCTCTGTAAAGGGTTCGGTACCTTATCTATATAATATCAGAAATATTACATTTCTAATGTTAAGTTTTAGAAGCAAATTTTTAGGAATACATCGATAGCTTGTTTTATTCAGTATTGGAAGGTGTGCTTCTTATATTAGATGATATATTCATAGCGGAAGAAAGGAATTTCTATATACATATTTGAAAAATTGCATTTTTTGAGTCGCTCCCATGAAGTGTCATTAAGAGCGATTAAAGTCTGCTTTTCATAATATCATTCATGCAGCCACCACACTATCCCCTTAGCTGAAGGGTCCTTCAGGGTCCTGCGCATTTTCCGGGCTGGGTAATGCGAGCTCGAAGCCATTTAATTAATGCTGAGCATTAAGCGCGAATATGGGGAATAAATGAGCAGAAGGACCGGTAGAAACGATTACCCTACAGGATGAAACAACTCACTTAATGGTCAATTGGCCAGAAGCAGCTTTCCGAGTGTTAAATTGAACACGAATCGATGCACCGGGCAGGACTTTCCTCGCAAACTTTAATCGAGGACGAATCAAACTCTTAAAGGAGCCTCATTCGATCCGAAAGTGGGTGGCTGCTGAAGTTTGGAAAATCAAATCCGTTTTAGCATCTCACGCATAATGTGAAGGGCAAACAAACAACGAAAGCAAACAAACAACGGCTAACAAGCAACATGTGGGAGTTGAGTTGAGAAATGTTTGCCGTGCGCTGTGAATAATTCTGAAATTCCGCTCGCTCAGAGGCCTGAAAATGATAAGAGATAAGGAGTCGCGACCAGCAAGCGAAAAACTTCAGATTGCAAATAATAAAGGGCGAAGGAGCAAAGTGAACATCCGGACATCCTCGGTTCCACCAGGTAATTGAAGAAGCACTTGGGGTAGAAAAAAGTGTAATGTTGGGGGACAGCCAGCGAAATATGCTTTATTGATTGTATAAATATTTAATGCGCTGGAGAAACACATTTCTTTCAGTGGGGTTGGCAAATTTGCGTGTAAAACGGCTTGTAACGGTCACGTTCCACCTATAAAAGTGGAGATAGTAGGGAGAGCTCAGGATTCGCGTATCCTGCCCAGCTGGCCCAGAGCCCAGAAGTTCGCAGGGTGTAGCGATGGTAATTTCTGGGGAAATACAATAAGATAACTCCTGGCTAATGTCTCGGAATTTACTGAGCCACTACCAAGAAATTGTGCAAAAGCCCTAAATCGCCAACTCAATGCCAACTATTGCGGCACGCGAAATATATGCTAAAGTTCGAGGGCAGTTTTGCATGCAAATTCACTTGGAAAATTATGGATGCTTTTGGTACACCAAGAGAAAATAATAGATTAAATGCGAATGGTATATGTAAGAAGTTACATGTGCAACAGGGCTTCATTTTATATTAACACAAACACAATCAGTTCGTATTGATCATTATCATGATTACCGTGTAGTGAGTGGTGATTGCTAACTCTTTCCCTGTAGAACATCAAAAATTAGTGTGAAACTAATGGCTGTTTTAATTTAACAACTGGGAGCCATTAGATCCATAGGCGAGGCTTTATCTAGTTACCCAGCCCACTGGCAACTAGCTGAATGAAACTGCGTAAAGAGGGGTTGTTGTTTGCTGAAGGGCTGTGATGACGTCTAACATCATTAATAGTGTCCTTTCATGTTTTGGTGGTCGTGGTCAAGGCAAAACAAACAGTCCAAGAGCAGCCGGCCTCTCAGGGACGACAGAGCTGGACAGAAGTCCTCCATGTGCTCGTGGAGCTGCCTGGCATGGAGGATGGGGCTGTGGTTCCGAGGCTTATTTACCCTCGCTGTCGTTTCAGGCCACTTTATTTGTCTGTTTGCAGCTCTGCTCCCTGGTTGCAAACTGTAAAAACTGTGTAAAAATCACGTGCATCACATAAACACACAGTTCCAGCCACATTACGCACGAAAAAGGGACCGCAGCCGTAGGACAGGCATAATTAATTACCCCAGGCCGCAAACATTTTGCAGCCACTGTCTGGGCATCGAAACCCCATGAATTCCTCGCACTGGCCTACCGAAAATAGCCCGGCAGGATAGGAGGCAAGGCCATGTCCATCTGGCATTCCGCATTTGGCCAGGAGGTCAGGTGTCAAGTTTAAGCTGTGCGCTTACGGATTCAATTTACCATTGGTTATGGGCATTCCCGTGGTTACGGAATTCGACTCAGGGCAGAATTTATTGTCATCATCGCATGACATTTCGGCCGTTTTCTGTGGAAGCCAAGGACAGCTGCAAATGACAGTGTCGAATATGTTAATTAATGTTCAGATAAAATTGAATTTGTTATATCTCCAGCTAGGCTATCGAAAGTAGTTACCTTTGTATACTTTGACCGTTTGTCGTGTGCATCCTTGTAATTATTTAAAGGCAACTAACCTCACTCTTCTTCCGATAAACTTTAGTAAAATTGAGTCCTAGTACTTACCTACTTGATGGCGGGAGTGAGTCCCCAGCAACTTCCCAATTCACCAGCTTTTAATTAAGACCTAAGTGAATTGGGGAGAGAGGTCATAAATCGAGGTTCCAAATGAAGATTGACCTCGGCGAGATAGCCATTAATGGAAACTAGCAGGTGAACAAGTGAGAACTTGGCGATTTCCCATCGCTCGTGTGCAATTGTCATAATTAAGAGTGATTAATGAGTCGGCGAATGGGGCAAGTTGCAGTTGGAATCCCTTCCGAGGATGCGAACATGGATTGTCTTTAACTTTCATTGGATCGCAGACTGCAGATTGCGTGTCTGGCACTTTGCTAATAGTTTTCAATTGCATGTTCTTGGCCAAACAGCATTCCTCATTCCCCATGTCGGTGGAAACGGAAGTTCTCAAGTCAGTCAACTCAACTCTACTCAACTCAACTCAACTTGACTCTGCTGATGAATTGCGCAAATTAAAGCTGAAAGGTATTTTAAATAAAAATGTTAAAAATGCGCTTCTTGCTGGCTGGTCTTCCCTCGCTTCTTTCCTTTTGTTTGTCGTTGTCTTTCCGTTTTCCTGGCATCTCAGGTGGTTTTTGTTCATGGCCGAGCTACGGAACAGATTATATGGATAATTTCAATTTATCTGGGCTTAGAAGAGCAGCGACGTGAACCATTTCTGCGGAACTCATTAGAGCTCCGGCACTGCAGATGCACTTGAACCCGCTTTAACAGGCACTGAGCACTTTAATTGGACGTGACGGTAATGGCTTATTCTTATCCGAAATCAAAGCCTAATTACTTTCCAGCAAATCACTCGGCATATTAGGTGTTTGATTTTTCCCACACCTCAGCAAACGCCTGGCAGTGTAAAATATAATTAAAATCACTTAGCTAATCAGGCTTACCAGGCAATGCCATAGTCATAAGCTCATAAATTGCACCCTTAAGTCAGTGCCCCACCCATAGAGGAAAACTAATAAAGGGATTCCCGACTCTTATCTGTGGGCGATAGCAAGCCGCAGGCTGCAGAATTTTACGGTCAGTTTCACATTTCAATGGGACAAGGGCTAATATATTCAAATCAAAGTGCGTGTGTATATACATGCAACATTAATTATAATTGCATAAAGGAGCGCCAAGTGGGTGGCCCGAATAAATTCACAGAATTTAATTTTAATGGTAGCTTAATGTAATTCATTTTATGCATTATGGCATTTTCTGTTCTGCTCTGTTCTGTGCTCTGCCTGGCATTGTAATGGAATTTGCATTGTGGCATCTGTCGCATCCGTGCCACGGGGCGTATACGTAATTTGAGTTTTAACCAAGCTCCCTGGGGTGGAACAGCGATTGTTGAAAACCTCCTTCGCCCACACAGTCGAGGCAAATTATTCGAATACACTGGAATAAAAAGCAAGCTGGACAATGCAGTGTCCAAGGAACCACTCAAAAAGGCTTAAGCTTAAGTAAATACTCGTATGTGGCGGGTATCTTCCCTTCCATCTTCCATTTGTTGCTGATACTCATTTCCTCGACCTGTAAATATTGACTATTAATAAAACCCCCGTGCGTCCTCTTGCAGTCACCGCGTTCTCGGGTCCGGACCAGTGCACATCCATCGAGCGGTTGCCGGGTTTTGCATGCTGGCCGGGCAGATAGCCCCGGCGTGAGCACACACATCGGGCTGGAAAAGATATAGCCAGCGAGTCATCCAGCCAGCCAGCCAGCCAGCCATCCAGCTGCATCGAATATATCTCGGCCAAATGTACGCCGGCCGGGCGACACAATTTGCCAAAACCATCAGCAGCATGGCGTGCAGCATACAGAAGCAACCTCAGGCACCGCAATCAGTGGACCCTGGCACTGCAGGAGTGGATCGGGTGGGCGGAGTGGTAGGCGGAGGAGGTGGTGGCCCCAGTGGAGCTGGCACCGTTCCCTCCACACCGAAGAGCAAGGCCGCCCAGCCGAGGGGCTCCCTGCCGACGGATGTGAACCAACCACCGCTGGAGTTTCAGTGGCCACCGCCCGTTCCCGTTTCGATACACACGAGCAACTTGCGTCTGAACATGATGAACCAGGATCCCAAGGACCTCCATACAGCCAGAGCCATCATCGAGGAGCTGCGCTCCAAGGTGCGCTTTCAGACGGAGCACATCATGAAGTGGCGCAAGGCGTATGCCATGCAGGTGAGGCCATCCATCTGTGACATGATTAGTACAACTATTGTATTAGGATTAAATTTAAAAAGCAATATCCGTCCTTATTTCCTGCCCGCAGGTCCAGCAGCACTATCGGTATCAGAAGGAGAAATCAGATCAGATGAACTCGTTGACCTCGCAGCTTCTGCTCCTGGAATCCCGACTGAAGCGGAAGCAGAAGCAGATAGCCAGTCTACTGAACCATCGGGAGTTGACCATCCAGCGTCAGCAGAAGATCATCGACACCCTGTCCTCCCGGCTGGTGGATCATGGCCTGGAGACCATTGAAGCTAGCTATGCCAACGAGCTGGACTCCCTGAACGACTCGGACTCGGCGGTGGTGCTGGAGGACATCGACTCCGACAGCCCGATGACCTTGGGCACGCGACGGAAAAGTAGTGGCGCTGGCGGATTGGGCGGAGTGCTGGGCAGCGATGGCATCACCATAGTACGCTCCATATCCGATGCGATAGAGACGAATCACAACAAGTACGGAGCGGCCAGGCGAAACAACTGCTTCCTGCGGCGACCAGATATCCTGGAAACAGTTTACTCCGTCGAGGAGGATCCCGAACCCACCACGGACGTGGCCGAGAAGCGGGACAAGTTCAAGAACCGCTCCGACAAGGCGCTCAGCTCCAGCTCGACCGAGGGTCAGATAGACGCCGCCAGTCCCTCGACCGCGGACAAAGCCAAAGATTCATCGCCCGTCGACGGCGGATCCACCATTCCAAGACGTCAGCTGGGAGCTCTCAAGAGATCCCCCAGCCACGACTCTCCGTGCACCACACTCAGTGTCAAGGTCCCCCAGCTGCAGCCACCAACTCCTCCAGCATCGGCAGCTGGAGCGCAGGAGCCGCCCAACGGAAAGACCCAGGTAACTGAGAAGTAAAGGTTTCAATTGCCAAATGTTGCACTTAAACTTTAAATTTCAGGAAAATGTTGGGCCTGTGGAGGGAATTCCCATTTTCTTAGATTGCGAAATAGTTTTATAACATTTTTTAAGTGCTGAGTTTTTTAATTAAATGCATTAAACGATTCTTTGGCTTTTCAAATGAAGTATAGATTTCGTTATCCTAAATATATATAGTTAATGTATATATCCCTTTACAGGTGACCAACTACAACCGTGTTATGTTGAACCATCGCTCGGTGACGAAGCCCAAGGACGTGAAGTACAAGCGCATCAACAAGGCGAAGTCCAAGAGTCTGGAGGAGCTCCGGGGGCGTCTCAAGAACCTGGTGGAGCGGCCTCCGGGCCTGGACGGCGGTTACTCCGCCGGCATGATGCCGCAGGCGGCGCAGTCATATGCGTGACACTCGCAGCAGCCGGATGCGGAGTCCCAGAGGTCAACGGAGGGGGTGAAGAACGGTCAGCCGGAGGCGGCGATGGGACCTCGTCCGCGAAGGGAGAGCGCGGAGCCTATGACCTCGACCTTGGCCTCGACCTCGACCTCGACTTCGATCGCCGCCCCCCAGGAGCCGCAGGGCAGCAGACATGGCTTTCCCAAGAGGTCGCTGACCTTGCCGCGCATCCTGGTGCCCCGGCAATCGGCAGCGGGGCTGGCGGGCTCTGGCGGCGGGGGCGGGGGCGGTGGCGGCGGTGGGCGTGGCGGCTTCTAGCAATTAAAGAAATTTTTCATACGCAATTGTGATAAAAAGTAAACACGTTTTCTTCCTCCGTCTCTGTACAGCCGACTTCAGTTGCTTTAACATGATTCTCTTTTGTAACATTTGTTTCCTGGACACTTATCCTGAGCCTAGTTTGGTAAACTATGCATTTACATAAGTTTAGCTTAAGTTTTACAAACGGAACTGCATTTTGACTTAACATTACACATAGTTTCACAAAACAAATAAATCATTTTTTAAACCTATACTATTTTTCTGTCTATGATTTTCACACTTTACAAAAAGCGTATGAAAAATTTCGCCAACCGTAAGTCAGATTTATCTTACAAATGAACGGAATGTGTACTCGAGGACAATATTTCCAAATCCCAGATGTTGAATGGTGAGTAGCTCCAGTCAGTCCCAGAATTGTGGGTGAAAATAGGCTAGAAAGGATATTTTAAAAATGTACTCAAGATATTACTAAATAGCACATAAGAACAAATGCATAGTTATATTTAAGCAAAGTGTTAATCGTTTATATTACACATGTATTTTTCCGCAAACGTTTAAGAGCTTCTCCGATATTTCTTTTACATACATAAAGCGTTTCGGGTTGCTTTTGAAAACTATACAACCAAAACACGTTAGAACATACTTCTCTATTGATATTCGATCTAGTGTAAGCTCTACTCCATGGACTGTCTTCTAGATAACAGAATTTACAATTGATCATAAACAAATATGAGTATATTTTCTTACTAACTATTACTAGCCATTTATAAATATTTAATATCTTTAACTAGGATAAGTTAGAAGAATATTATTTTTGCATTTCGTCACGATTATTTTGTAACTTGTTATCGACTATTGGGGTCTGCATGGCCCCAATGTCCTAAATGTCAGATGTACCTTGAGAACTCGTAAAATACTGTACAGATTTAACCCAAATATCAGCGTTAATATTAGAAAGTGAGTTAGAATCTCCTTAGGTGTGAACTTCGACAATGGCTGCTATCAGGTCTCAATTATAAAGAATACATATATTTAAAAGCCAAAACAGTACAATGTCTGGACAGCTGGAAGACAACAAGCTATATATTCGAAATTACCTAAATCAAATATATATCAATATGCAACTTGGTGTTTCAGTGACTGTCCTGCAACAATGTGTACCTACATACGTGTGTCAAAACAAAACATTTCCAGTATTGAACTATAAAGTATGGTTAAATAAACCTCTTGAATTCCTAAGTCAATTGGACGTTAATTTAATTACTTGAAGCAGATTGTTGAAAATGCAAATGTATTTGCCAACAATCGGGTAAAGCGTGTTATTCTGAACGTAAATTTAATAAGACTTATGCATAAGTACTTTTTGCTGAGATACAAAAGGAAATAGTTATAAGTACGTTTGTCGCATGTCAAACGCTTCTGATTTTTATAAATTTATGTAATTTATTTATGTAATATTGATGTAAGCAATGATGTTTCAGTCTTCGTTCATATTATAACGTAGTTATTTTTCTCAATCCATTCACCACACATTTTTCGATTATTTCCAAAACCCGTTTCTTTATTTGCAACCTTAAGAGATAAGATAGAAATGATTGTTATTGTACAAATTATTAAACATATTTTGATAATCCGGACACATTCTACACGTTTCATTAATTTCAGAATTACTTTTTCGATATTTTACAACCTTCAGAGATAAGATTCAACAAGTTGTAATTGTATGAATTATCAAGAATGTTTTGATTATCCGGTCAACTTCCCTTCCATTACAAGCCAATTTACAAATGCTGAATATGAATATATATATACTGTATATACTATATATAGTCCGGATCAATATGCGATACTACGAGAAAGCAGTAGCTTGCTAATAACCTAAGTATATGCTAAGTTGTGTAATTTACAAATCTAATTGTTAATGTTACTCGTGTGTATGCAGATTACTACTAACATTCGACTAGACGGCGTCTTTTTTTCTAGCTAGCTTAAATAGAAAATCACGAACGAACATTAATGGCCATTAATTTGCTCACTCTACGAAATTCGAATAAACAGTACTTGAGATATTTTCTACTCGCGCTTAATAAAACAAACGAAACCTAAGCCAGTCGAGATTGTTTGGGCGGGGAGACTTTTTGGGATCCGTCCGGCACGATCAGTCCAAATCGAGCAGCGATCAGAGAAGCATGGCGAGATCAGGGAGTAGTTCGAGGTTTCTTATCGGCAGGCCTTGCTGTTCGCTGGTTACGGGTCTTATCTGCCTGGTGAGTCTGTGAATGCAAGTGGATTAGATAAGGTACTTATTGATTTTCCTCTCGATTGCCAGGCTCTGGTGCACTCAGTCCGAGTTCCAGAACGCAGCCCTAACACTCTTGCGGAAAACACAATTCAGGCGGTGGAGAGGCTCTTCAACCAGGTGCTCTACGCGACCATCGAGGATGCCCGCCAAAGACTTCCGAGTCACCCAGCCAACGAAACCATCGATCGGCAGTACTTCGAGGAGCTCGACCTGGTTGCTGGGAACGAGGACTACTACAGCACTGCGTTCTATATCTTCGCCTGGATAAACAGCGACCTCATGTACCACAATACTCCCGACAAATTGCTCATTGAGGTTCTGCCCGGCGAGAAGATCGCCATCCGAAGATTCTTCGGCAAGGTCAAGCCGCATCTCACCAAGTATCTGCGAAGCAGTCGGCAGGAGAGGGCTGAACTGGTTGCCAATATCAGCCAATTAGCCAACGAAACTGGCGACAGTCTGATCACAACCTTCTTGGAGTTTCCCCAGAACCTCAAGAGCCAGCTTCCCGAGCTCCAGCTAATGGACTACACCAAACTGGCTCAGGCTTTAGTGCAGGGGGTGGCCAGTGGTATTTGGACGAAAGCCTTAAATACATAGAAAACGATTTAGACGATGTTTGTAATAAAATGAGGCATTGATTAGAAATGTACTCCAAAGAAAAATACTTTATTTGCATGTGCAATCTATTTATTCGAGGACTTCACCCGCAAAAAGTGCAGCTTAACTTATGGAAAATTTCCGCACGTCTGATCAACATGTGTAGATCTCGGGAACTGATACTTTAAAGCAATAAAGGTATTAACGTGACCTGGGAAATATATACAACTTTATAATCACTAAATCGGCGGTTTCCACTACCCACTAATTAAAATACGGAGGGGCGCACTCTTTCTTATCACGCTCACCAATTTCTGAGGACTGATTACAGTCTATGCGTTGTCTCACGATCTGTGGGTATTTATTATAGAGGCGTTCTTGCATTTAGTATCAGCATTGTGAATTGAAGAGAGGGATTATAAAAGGAATCAGTTCGATTGAAACTAGATACAGTTTGAAATCATGGCTAGCAAAATAAGTTGGACTTTTCTATTCGCAATAGCTGCCCTCCAGCTTTCGGTAAGATCCTTAGTACGCAAATATCTTCGTGGAATAAACCTTAACTTTTAACGCAGCTCGCAGCTCCGCTAGTAAACAAGTGGCAGTTACAGTTCGAAGTGTCCAATGAACTCTTTCAAATGGTAACGGATGCCATGGAACAGCTAAGAAAAGTCTTCCAACTGGTCATCGACGAAGCTGAACTTATTTTGCCACCGGACTCCAAGGGAAACATTCTCAAGGAGCTCAAGGAACTCGTCGCGGCCTTGGACACACTGGACTTCGATGATTCATTTGAGCTGAACAGACTAGAAGACGCTCTTGAGGAATTGGAAAGCATCATTTCGATTGCAGGCAGCAAGGAATTCGAATCGGAAGCTGACGAGGTTGTGGTCCAGCTGTTCATGCAGCATGGAGTTGAGGACCTGGAGCAGATACTGGAGAAAAATTTGGAAACTACTCTGAAAACAGTGGAGCAGAAGGTGGAAAAGTATATGAGCACATGGTCCGACAGTCGGCTGGCCAGAAACTCGGACTTAGTTAGGCAGTTCAATGACTTTAAGAACGAGAAGGATGTCTATGAGAAGCTGGATAAGTTGTCCAACTCTGATTTCATTTGAATAAACATATAGTGTTTCAACTATTTGAACTACTTTGAACTCTTTCCCAAAGTCAAGTATCTACAGATGAATATTCACAACGTATACAAATTCCATGAACTGCCGTGCTCACATAAATATTAACGAGTAATCCAGAGTTCATTTGATGCATTATCACGCTCGCCGTAGGCTAAAAATTGATTACATATTGCAAACAATTCAACAATCAATGACCATATAATATATACGCTAGTTCGTGTTTACAACTTAGTGGAGGAATGACGTAAGAAATGCGGAATTATTAAAAAAATTGTAAACGGTGGGGTTTCAATTGCTTCCATCAATAGTTTACTGCCTTCTATGATTCCTATTCAACAGAACTATTCTTTAGTCTAATAAATAAACTAACAAGCAAGAAGAATAATGAATTATTCCTAATGAAAAGAATATTTACATTAGACTGACAAGCCGGTATAATCTCTGGCAGCCTCAACTAGTTATTCCAGAACTCAGAAGACGTCAACTATCAGCTTTGACATTCATTCATTAGTTTCCACTAGGAAAGAGGTTAAAAGTTGCGGTAAGATGATCCAAATCCATCCCGCGAGTCGTACACATCCCGCTCGATCTGCGGAGGTCCTCTGCCGTCAGAGGAGTAGCTATAGGATTCGGTCCGGTAAAAGTTGTTCAAAGAGCCTCCGGAGCCAAGGGGTCCACTACTACCAGCCGACATACTGGGTCCTCCGGAAAACAGGGGGATCATGGAACCACTAGATGGTATAGGTACCTGAAAAAAGTTTATTAGTTGATTTAGCCAGCAAAAAAATTAATCTCCTTACTGGTCCAGACGTCCAGACTCCCGAGTTTGGGTCGCGGAATGGCGTGTCAGGAACTGGTCGGATGCCTCTGCCACGGAAATCCGGGGAACTCGGAAAAGGTCTGTTGCTGAAGCCGCTGCCTCTGGGACCCACATTGTAATCCGATTGGAATGCATTGTCGAGGTTGGGTTGCTAAAATGTTAAGTCGTCAGTCGGATTGTAACACCTGTTGTAACTACTTTTAATGACGCTTACAGGAATGCGGAAACCGCTTGTTCGGGGAGGGTTCTGAGGGAAAAATGGTCGAGGCCGAAATGGGTTGGGTCGGACTGGAAGGTCCTCCTCTTCGTAGGAGGCGGTCACTTCTTCCACTTCTCCGCTGGATCTCTTCAAAGTTATTAAATATACATTAAAATGAATTTCTACTAAATATAGTGGAAGGACTCACTTCTAAAAACTCGACATCATTGTGTCCATCAGCCAAGGCTGTCCCATTTCCGCCATTTACGGAAGATCTATCTGAAATAGGTTCGTTGCTCGATATCGGGTCCACGGGCTTGAACAGATGCGTCGGAATGTTGATGGTTTCGCGAGGCACCCTTACCTGGGGATTATGGAAAATCGTATACTTATACTATCTAAGCTGTCTGGTAGCGAACTTACCTTAGGCTCCGGCAGAGTGTGGCAAAGCTAAACAATCCAGATCGCATTGAAGCATAAATTATGGAATAAACCGATGTACTTGTATAATATACCTACCCCCTGTGCGATGAACAGACAGCCCAGCAAAACGAATTGGAGCGGCAACATCTCGCAGATCTCGTCAGGTGCTTACGTCTACAACTTCCGACGATCGACAGAACTATGAGTTCTCTGCGTGGAATGCGCTGCAGTTAAATGCAACTACGATCCCAACCCGTCCGACTGGAAATCGCCAAGGTGAGAGCATCGGAGCCCGGGGTTATCAGCCTGGGGATTGCACGACTGGGAAATCAGAAGGCAATAAGTCAATCATATGCGCTCATATGCGCAAATCAGCAATTATCATTTTCCCGCATCCAGGAGCCTTTAATTTGGGAACCTGCACTTAATGCACAGAAAGAAAAATGCAAGCTATGCAAAATATGACGCCCACATTAATTGAAGAACATTGTACTGAGACTCTCACGATCGAAAGCCTATGTGGTAATTAATAATACACCATATATAAAATTTATAATAGGTGTTTAATGTGTTAGGAAGTACATTTCAATAATTAAATAAGACTAACATAATATTGACTATCTGTCAGTATTCAGCGCAGAGTATTAGTAGCGTCCATAGCCGTAGGGAGAACCATATCCGGATCCTGGACGCGGAAAGCTGGGTGCAGAGATCACTGGTCTTCGCGGAATGAAATAGACCTGCGGGTATCCAAATCCGGGTGGCTTCAGGGCCACGTCCTCTTTATCCTCTTTATCCTCTTCCCCTGACTTATCCTTGTGCTTATCCTCGCCGGAGTCGTCCTCGTGATCGTGACTGTGAGGGTATCCGAAACCGGGGCTGGGAGGTCCGTATCCCGGAAAGCCTGGCCAGTTACGAGGCTGGGGGAACACCGGTGGTTGGTAGGGAGCGTAAGGTGACCTGAAGATCGGATAGGAGGGGTATCCAGATACCTCCGGCGATTCCTTGTCCGCATCTTTGGGAGTGGGCGGTGTCGCCGATGGAGGAGGAAGCTTAGGGCCCGCGGCGGAGAATATTAGTCCGGGGTGGGAGTAGGGATACTGAATGGGGTATGGATAAGGGTGAGGGTGCGGATGAGAATGGGGCTCATGCTTATGGGACTTTGGCGCTGTGGTAGTTGTAGTGGTGGTCGTCGTAGTGCTGGTGGTTTCCGGCTCTGGAGTGGTGGACTCTGGGAGAGCAGATCCATCATTGTTTTGTTGCAAGCCATCGTCCAGTTGTCCCAATCCGTCATCCGGAGCAGCAGTGGCCTCCCCTTCCTGCTGTATTGCAGGCGTTGTGGTGGGCTCTGGCTTTGGAGTTGTGGTTTCTGGTTCGGGAGTGGTGGTAGTCACTTTCTTGTGGGGATGATGAGGATCGTACTGCAGGGGAAGGCTGGGCTCCGGCAGCTGCTTAGCATCGGTAGTCTCCTCGTCGCTATAAGCCGAGGCATCGATTTGTTTTTTAGCCTCATCGAGCGACAGTTGAGCGTAGCTCAGCGCCAGTAGCTGTAATTAAAATACATATTAAATCATAGTTCGAATCATTTTCCCTGTTCAGGCCAAGATCTGGCACCAACCTGGCTGATTAGAAGCAGCTTGATGAACATCTCAACCGACTAAGTTCAACTAGCAAGGGCCCAGCGAAAACTGATTGCTGTCTGCCGGCCATAGCTGACTTATATAGGTCCAGAATCGCCCACAATTATGGAAATCATTAAGCCCACAATTACAGTCAGCCCCAGAGCAATCAGCTCTCGATCTCTCTCGAAAAACCCGATTGGCATCAGGTGTTGGATGCGTCTGCCGGAATTTCCCTGACTGCGTTCGCAATTAAAGATCGCCATCTATCAGTTGGTCACAAAGAGAATTGGTTCTGCCCGCAAAATCGCAAAATCAGGCAGCGATTCCTCTAATCAATTTTGAACTGCTCCAATCGATTCCACCTGCGCAGCGACTATAAAAGGTGGCTTTGCCCAGTCGGCGCTTCTGGTTTCTGGTTTCGACGCAGTATATGACATGGCGAAACTTGCACTGAAGCTGGTGAGGTTCACGGGGTATTCCCTCATTTTTGCACACACTCGAATGTATTCTTTGTTTTAGATTGGAATCGCTATATTCTTGGTAGCCGCTCTCGAGGCTCAGGAAACCCCTGCGGCTGAATCATCTCCGGCGTCGCAATCAGCTGGTGAAACTTCTCCAACAACAGAAGGCAGTTCTACCGGAGAAATAACTCAGACCACTGTAGCGGGGTCGGAGGTCACAGGATCACCCACAAATAGCACCAACCCAAGCGATCCGCCTGGCCCGGAAAATGGCGGAGATCCATTTGTAAAGCCGGGAAACCATATAAAGGGTCCTCGACACGTTAGAGCACATGATGGCTTTCACAACCTGAAGACGGAGAAGCATTGGGCTCGCTGGAACGACGCCTTCACCACGCCAGGTCCTTAGCTACTACTACCCAGTACGCCCTATAATTTTGTCACCAATCTCGAAAGATTATTGAATACAGATCAAAACATAAATCATTTTAGTATTGATACAATATTTCGTCAGAAATGGGGACCCACTATAAGGTTTTACCAAGACCTTTAAAGATGACGAATGAAATTAGTTGCCATTCTATTGTTTCGCAATGCGGTTGGTTTTTTTCTGCTTGGTAAGTTACATAAGTTAGACTAAAATCGTATCGCATATACTATACTTTATAATTTTCATACTAGTGCCCCTTTTTGTGCCTGCAGATGGTACTGCCCAGACACGTGGGCCACGATGGATTCCACAATATCGAGAAGGAAAAGCGCTGGAAAAACTGGCCAGCACGTGTGAAACACCACCATAAACAACATCACTCCATCTAATGGCTGGCGAGGTCGGGATTGCACGCGATTGCCTATGGCCGGTTACAAAATCGTTCACAGGGCCATAATGTCTCGGATCTCGTCAGACAATGGGAAGCGGAAACCTTGCTCATCATATCAATGGATCACTGCTTAATTCAGCATTTTCAATGTTCAAATGTGCAAATAATAAATTGAACTACATTAATTGTTGCTAGGCAAGCGATATGCATTTCAAATGAGGAGAAATACATATTTAATACATATAAATTGCCCCTTTATCTTACAAATAAGTTCTTTATTTTGTATTTTAAGCTAAGTCACTAATTGGGAATCAATTGGTTCCATATTACATCTCAGCCCTCTAATTGTGATTTGACGCGTAAGTAATTTTCACTCTGTAACCTACAGCCATGGGATCAAGGCTCTATCCCGCTGGGATCCTCATCCTCCACTGCCTGCTGATGCTCCTCGTCCATGTGGACAGCAAAGCTAACCAGAACCACTCGGAGTCTGACAGACAGCGTCATCTCCGATCACACAATCTGCACAGACCTCCATACGAGGGTTACGATTGGCACAAACAGTAAGAACAGATTCGACCAAGTTGAGGATAAATGCATTTTACCTTTCACTTACTTTAGCTATAACCGAGGCTCGGAAGCAAACGCGGCAGTTCCAAAGGAAAAGGAAAAGGAGCCTTCCAAACCCAGAGCAGGTCATTTGAAACAGAAGGAACGAACAGCTAAGAATATTTCGCACTGGAGGTAGGGGCATCATCTGCATCAAATATGGATGCTCTGCGATAAAGAAACTCCTCTTTTCCAGGAGAAGTCAGCGCGTTTACCAAAAAGAAAAATCAGAGCTGGAGGAATTGGATCGAGTGAAGAATCTAACTGATGAGGAACTGAAGATATTCTTTGACGGCGAACTTTCTACTACAGCAAAGTACGTATTATTTAAGGACATTCTGAGCGTTGTTAAGATCTTGAAAGCGGTGAAAAAAAATGGAGCTGTGTAAGTAGTGTTCTCCTGGTATATCTTGCAATGCCTTTAAAATCGTCTGTTTTAGAACCGACAACGAGAGACACATGCTATCTCCGAAACTGAAACCATTGATTTTAAGATTCGGTCGCATGTTTGAAAAGGAATTTGGCAAAAACCCGAAAGCCTTCCAAGCTTTGAAGATCCTTGTGGAGGAGGTTAAGAAAAATGACAGCAAAGGGAATAAATATAAAAGATCTCTTCATCGTCGTCGTGGCAATTAAATTGGCTATGCCTGCTGAATTGTAGTCCCTAATTTGCAGCTATAACGTAAAGTTTGTAATCTACATACAAATTGGTCTGTTAATAAATCGAATTACAATCATTGCTCTTTAACTGATCTTTGAGGTTGGCTTGCGGACAGAAACTGATTACTGACCCAAGATCGTTTCGTTTAGGCAGCAGCCATAACTTTAATTTCGACTATCTTGCTTTTACTTAATACACATAGACGTCGGCTAACTTAATCACACAGAATCGCGGAATTATTTAACGACAGCGCACTTAGTTCTTCCACTTCTTGTTCTCGTAGTCCCACTTGGAGGTCAATCCGGTGACGGGGTTGATTTCCAGGTCGATGATGCGCTGCAGCTGGGCCTTCTGGTGCTCCTCGTCGAAGGTAACGGGCAACTCATCGTACACTGAAAGGAAAATGCTCAATAATAAAAAACCCCAAAAGGCCTAGTCAAAGGCTTACCGAAGAGGTTCATCAGCACGGCCACCCAGATGGCGGCGGCGGTGAAAAGCAACGCCACGCCCAGGTGGAGCTTCCACTCGCCGGATCCAGCCTGAACCTCGGCGATTGTCTGACAGAAGCTGGCGCGGTACAGGGCCTTGATCTCCTGGGGGCTGAGCTTCTTCCAGTCTCCCTGCTCCTTGGCGCGCAGAGCGTTGATCTCGTTGGTGGGCTCACGGAAACGCACGGCGGGCAGAGGGTAATCCACGCGATCTGCGTAGCAGGCGGTGCCGTTCCAGCCGTAGCCCACGATCTCCCGCTTGCCGATCTTGTCCAGCGTGTGGACGGCGGCCACGCTGCCCACCTGGGCACTCTTGGGCAGCTGGGAGGCCAGCTGGCGGAGCACAGCACTGTTGAGTAGTCGCAGGGCCATTTTCTCACAAAGTCTGCAAGCGAACCAAATGAATATCAATTTATAAGCTGTCAAAACAGGAACATGAGGTCTTGGACCCACTAAAGTCAAATTTCCAACCCAACTAGGCGGTCAGCCGTGAATTCTCACGGGTATATGAAGCTCTCTTAGTTGAAGGTTATGTAATAGCTAGCAGCACTACGTGCCGAGTTATAGAAACAATTTCCATAGGAATCCCATTGTTTTGGTGTTCCAGGTAGGCCTGTCGCCACATATTTCTTCCGATTTCGTGCTGTGGGTGGCATAATATCCGCATAATTCTCCCATTTTTCACTGCCATCACAGATGTTGTGTAATCGGTAGGGCGGTTGCATCTACCGGAAAACGGCTTTTGAACCGGTGGCAACAAGCTTTTTAATATATCTAGTGATGCTTAACCCGCTCGTTATATTAAATGGGTTTGTGGTCGAAGGGAGTTTGTAATTTTCGTAATTTAAACAAATTTTAAAGCACTTTTACCTACTTTTCTTAGACTTGCTGAACAATGTGACCAAAAGGAATATACAAAAGATGGTATATATGGATGGGTAATCTGTACTCGGTCTTTTGGTATTTTTCGGCCGTAACAGTGTGACCGCAAATTGAATAAAAATATAGATAGAAATATATCGATAAGTCAATATATCGCAACATGGCGGGATATTTGAAATGTACCATAGAAACTGAAAGTAATGCCAGCTATTATATTTTTGTCTTTTGTATCGCAGTTTGGGAGTAATAAAAGAAACAACAATTAATGTTTGATATTATATTTTATTTTGATTTGATGTCATATCTCATAAATGCACACATTTAAATTAGACAGAGACACATAATTTGCTTTATCGTATCATATAGTTTTGCTGCTTGGGCTGGTATTATATGAGCTTATCTTTCGATAGGGATCTGGAGTTCGGAAATTTTGCTATTTTATCGAGGATGGGGCATTACGTATTCACTCTCGCGTATTCCTGTGTTTAAGCGCGGCTTGGCATAATAAATATTTTAATGGTATTTTGCTTTATTGGGCTTTATAAATATGCAATATGTTTGTAACAATATTTAATGATAATTACGCAAATAATTAAACTAAAGTGAAAGCTTTTTCCTTCAACTATACATCTTGTAAATTGGTAGTAGCAAAAACTTATAGCTACATTTACAATAGAGTTAGATATTAGTTGCAATTTAATTTATATGATCCGCCGGTTCTGGGCTGGGATAAAGGGTATAAAAAGTCTAGACCGCCGGTCAGATTCACACTTAAGCATAGGGGATTTCGGTTTAGTTTGTTCTATATGTACAAAAATGAATCCACTTGTCTTATCTCTTTAACATTTCATGTTGCTTAAGGTTTCATTTCTCAAGAGTTGGGTATTTCGGAAACGCAGCCGGGGTCCTCGCATTTTGGGATGGTAGTGCTTCGTTATCAGGTTTCTTTAGTTGCGTGGACAATTTGCATTTTTAACAAGTGCGCTAAAAAGTGCAATTTACTCTAGATGGCAGGGAGTGGTTAGATACGATGGGTGGTGAATTCGGGAACTTGTGCAAATGGCAAACTCTTGGAACTGCTTTTGAACCTCGCTGCGAAAGTAGTGCAAGAAGTCTCATTTGTGCGGGGGAAGGTTATCTTGGGTGCAGCTGACCCTCAGCTGGTGAGTTTCCTTTAGTTAGTCCATCTAAATTTGGCATGTACGAAGAGGTTGGCTTAATAGCTGTTCACTCTGTTCACTCTGCTCCAGCGGAACTTTCGGGCGTGACATTGGAGTCCAAGCTGGCGCAATCGGATTCCTGATCCTGAGCCTCCGAGTAGTTGGCCGCCTCCTGCAGGCGCATCAGCATGTTGAGCTATTGATGAAACGCCTCATAAGTTAGAAATCAAGGGAAGAATGGCAATCCTATAGCTTACCAAGGGATCCTGTTGGTCTCCGTTGGTTAGAGCCACGCCTTCGAGTCCCACATCCTCGGCATTGATTTGTCGTAATGGAGGCACTGAGTCCGGACCGTAGGGCCACGGGTAGGAGTTCCTAATGAAGGCGGAGGGATCGTTCCAGGCACCTCCTCGTCGTCCGTAGAGCTGAACTCCCTCGCGCACCGCCTCCACCAAATATGGCGACAAGTGGTAGTTCCAGATGTCGGTGAACCACACCTGCGAGTCCTTCAGATCCATCGGGCAGGCGAGGAATAGCCTCGGTCCGATGGTCACATCACTGGAGCTGTGCACCTCCAGGAATCGGTTGATGTGCTGCCAAACGGAGGGCAGCCAGGCCAGAACAGCCGCCAGCTCCGGTTGAGGATGTTGCGTCTGCAGCTCCAGCTGGAAGAGTCGACGCCTCAGGAAGCGACCCAGGAAGCCTTTCACGGGCTCCATGTGATTGGCTGTGAGAACCTGTTGAAAGTGATGAAAAAATAGATAATGATCTAGTTTCTTAAGGTCCACTAAAGCATACCCATCGGAAATTGTGGTGCAGCTGCAGGTTGGTGGTGTTGCAAGTGGCCTGCGACATGGTGCCAATGATGCAGGGCAGCTTGTTGGCAGGCCCTGCGCTCAAGAGACAGGAGAAAACATCGCCCAAGGCGGAGGCATGGTGCAGGTTGTCCAAAATAATCACACAGGGAAGTTCGGAGACTCCATTGGCAATGGCAGCCTGTTCGGCAATGTGGCCCAGATACTGACGCAGATCCTTCGAGGATTTGTGGTCCACACTAACGGGGAGAAATGGTTTACCAATCTAAAACAGAGGGTGGACTCTTTAAGACTTACTTGAACGTGGCAATAGCCTCCGAAGGATTGCCCCTGGCGGAGCGGGCGACAAGAAACTCGGCTAGTCGACGGGCCAGGTAGGACTTTCCAGTGCCGCTGGGCCCGCACAGGATCAGGCGACGGTGCTCCGTGAGCAGGCTGATGTATCGGTGAACAATGCTGCGGGGGATGAGGCTGTCAAAAGCCAAACTTCCCACCCCCTGGAGGCAGATATATAGGGTTCTCACGCTGCCCACTATGTAACCACAGGGCAGAAGTTCCGGGAATCCCATCTCGGGACCCCTCTTCGCCTCACCCAGGTGGTACGAGGTGATGGAGTCCGTATTGAGGCCCAGATTGGTGCCCGGATCAATGCGCGCCACGTAGTCCTTGAAGGTCTTGCGCACCACGTAGTCCAGGTTCTGCCACGTTGTCTTGCCGGAGATGTAGGTGCAGGCTATGACGAACTCGTTGCAGCTGGTGCTGGCATAGTTGGACTTCCTCTCGCTTTGGGATTGGGTATCCGCCTCGTGGCCATTGGCATAGAAGCCATCGAGTTCCTGCAGCTCCTCACAGTACTTGGAAAACGCCTCTGGCTGACCCAGATAACAGGCAATGTCTATCTTCTTGCCATCGCACACATCGGCCAACTCCTCCGTGGCACTGGCCATGTGCACAGGACTGGCCATAGGAGCCGCCTCCAAGGCAGGAGGAGGTGGTGTTAGGTCCACGTGGGTACTGGGACTGAGAGGAGCCACATTGACGCCATTTGGAGCCGGTGGTGGTTGTTCGGGAGCCGGGGCAGGTGGCAAACACTCCTCCTCCAGTTCAAGTTCTTCACTGAGTCGAGCCGGGAGTTCCATGGGTGGCCGATTGTTGCTGTCGGCGAGGGAATAGCGCCGTGACACCTCGGAGCTTCCAGCAACAGATCCATTGGGACTGATGGCCTGGCCCAAGCTGGCCTCCGAACCAACCAGGGATCGGGTGGTCACCAGTTTCTGGAGACGCTCATTGTTGTGCTTCAGGGACATCATCTCCGCCCGCATCTTGTTCATCATCTCCTTGAGGCTCTCCAGCTGGGAGGCCGAGCTCAAGGCCTCCAGGCGAATGTCGGTCAGGACGAGATCCTTTTCGCGCAGCTGCTTCTTGAGGTCCTCGACCACATGCTGATCCTCCTGGTCAATGGCATCGATGGGCTTGGCATTGTCTATGAGGGTGACGGTCTTGGCGGGACTGCTCTGCTTGCTATTCGGCAGAGGAGGAGCAGGTTGGGTGGCCAACGAGGCCAGTCCCAAGGGTTCACCGTGACCATTGTGCAGTGGAATTTTCCCAGCAGTCAACTCTTGCTGCGAGTGGTTGTGGTGGTGATGGTGACCCACATGACGACTCGTCTTGGAGATCTTGGCATTGCGGGAAAAGGCCTTGGTGAAGCTGCTTCGCAGCCAGCCCTTCTTCTTGTTGGCCTTGTTCTTGTCCTGGGCCGCCGAGCACCCCGAGCTGATGGAGTTCAGGGAGCACATGGAGTCGGTGCTGTGCTGTCGCTGCATTCCCAGGGGCAGAGAGCCGTTGTTGGCGTTGATGGCGCGTTGGGAACCTGAGGTCGGTGGCTTCTGCTCTGAGCCCGGCTGACCCTGCAGCTGACCTTGACCCTGGGTCTGGACGCCCATGCTCTGCATGTGCGCCGTGGTCAGTCCCGCCTGGATGGACTGCTTCCTCAGCAACTCGATGGTCTGCCGCATGTCCGTCAGCTCGCCGTCCTTTCGCTCCGCCGTCGCCGTCAATTGATGCAGTCGGTTGGTCATGTTGGACAGCGACTGCTCGAAGGCGGTGACCACATGGGCCTGCAAGGAAGAAGATGAGAGGAGCGATTAGTTTGAGGTGGGTATGGGCTTCGGCCAGGTCTGTACAATCCATTATCGCCCGTTTTGAGCACATCTCGATCGTGCCCCGCATTCTGAGGCCTGGCGTTGCTGTTTGGCATGCATGGCGTTGCACCCGCAACTTGCAACTCAACCCGGCCACATGACTCACCCACAATAAGCCGGCTCAAAGCTGGGCTCAAAGCCGGGTTTAAGAACTTTTTAGAACTTCTGGTCCCACTCCTGCGCACTTAGAGAACGTAGCCCTAAGTTGTTCACTTATTTTTCACGTCCACTTTAAATTCTAAACCTTTTCAGTAGTGTCTTTCAGTATGAATGGCAATCTAAGGATGTCTGCGGAGTACTAACTGAGTTGAAAGTAAGTAATGGTATGTTATTCCAGCTAAAGTTTTGGGTTGCTTCTCAATACCAATTGTATCGCCGTGTGAATTTGAGAACCCATACCATTTCTAGTGCTTTGTTATGTCAGCTTTTGCTATCGTTGCTTATTTTTTATGGGCCGACGTGACTGGTCGCAAATATGGGCATAGGAAAACCCAGGGAAAAAATATATATTTCTGCATCAAGTTGATGAGAGCCATTAGGGAAACTCGGAGAAGAAAAGTGGTGAGTCAGAGCGGATGCTGTAATTGCCGAGGAAGTAATGAAGCAGTAGCACAATCTTTTCGTTCTGCTGGTAGAATTGCTCGTAGAGTATTTTAGCATTTTAGTTCTATTAAATTGGGCGACAGGCGGGAGTTTTATGTGCGCCAGACTAATTAAATTATGAATTGGCAAACGTGATCACAACAAGTGTACAGCCCACCGGCGCACATTACAATCAACACGATTTGCATTAAAAAACCACGTAGAAACCCTTTCAACTTTCTCCGCTTCAGCACATTTGGGAAAGGGCTCTGGAATCAGCTTCGTTTGGCTGCCAACTCACGTATGTGGCAGTGGCAAGCATAAAAATTGATTACGGTGCGTATGAGCAACGTGGCACGCCGCACAAGGCGGCAGCTGCAGGAGCACATCCTTTCATTTCCGCCAACAATTAAAACGATTACCGAGCCATTTTCCTTTCGGTGGGTGATAAAGTGGCAAGTGCCTGTGATTTTAATCAGGAGCAGCCGCCGCCAAGTCAGTTTCACCCATAAAGCAGTGCCTCACTCCGACCTTGAGCTTAAAAACTTTTGCGGGAGTGTTCATCTACTACCGCTGATGAATATCCGTTTAAAAATGTTCCTCTACAGAGCGTGCCATTGCAATTTGCATAAATGAGTGGCTAATTAAATAGCGAAACGTGCTAGATGGGTATCAGTAAACAAGTGGGAAATCGGCGGATAGTCTGAAATACAGATTACCGGCAATTCTAGCATTTATAGTTTGCTGTAATGCGTATGTGTCTCTATATTTGCTTTTAATTTTTCCAATAGCTGTGTGTCTTGCCGGCAGCTAATAATTTCGATGAGGTCATTCCTATGTCCAGCTTACTAACTTGCCGCATGCCAATGGTAATTTTTGTTTTTGCGGCATTAGGCGAGCTTTTATTTTCCGGAGCTGAATCAACGGTGATAAGTGAGGTATTTAATTAAGTTTTAAATTATATACTTTACAGGTTTCGGTAGCAACCGGCAAAACCGTACATGGTTCGATCAATTTGGAGAAATCAGTTCAAGCTTGGAGCGGATCAAGATTAAAGAGAAGTGCTGTTCACCACCCACAATAGTTAAAGCCATATTGTATATAGTTGAAACTAGCCCTGACTCACTAATATCATTAATGTAAGTATCAGTTAGTAAACTTATCCAAACTGATCAATGGAGTATTGGGTGCTACTTGACAATTCTGTTGCCATTGCGCTGGAATATTTCCCTCTTGAATTACTTTTCTCCATCTCTTACGCATTTAAGACCCATCTTGGTGTCCGGAAAAAATACGCTTTGAAAGAAAACACCCTCTTCAACTACTAAAAGTCAAACATTAAAGACCCCAAAAGAAAATGGCGAACAGACGAGGGAAATGAAAAAACGACATCGAAATTAAAAGCAGCGAGGTGGCTCCAAACCCCTCGCAGTGCCCCTCAAACTGTACGGTAGTGGGTCTAGAAAAGGGAGCTCGATGCTGTTGCTGCAGATGATGTTGCTGCTGCTGTTGCTGCTGCTGTTGCTACTCTTGTTGCGGCAGTTCATTTGCACGTTGGAGGCAACGAAGCGTTAAACGGTTATGCATCAGCTGCGAGCGACACGCAGTCGGAAAGTCGGAAAAAACCGGCGAATAGAAGGGGATAAAAGGCAGTCGGTGCAAGGGGCCATATGCTAAATGGCCAAGGCAGCAGCAGAACCAGCGACCGAATTGCCAACTTTAATTTGACTGTCAGTGGGGCTGGTGGGGGAGGTGGGGGATGCATTGAAGAATTTATCGCTGGCAATTTGCAGACAGCAAAACAAAGTTCAAGTTCAACGGTGGCCATGCCACGGTGGTGGTTTCCCCACCGAAAAGTAAAACACATTTAAAACCAGCGCTTAACCATCAGTAAAATGCTGTTTTACTGATAACCACCGAAGCCGATTAGGTTTCGACCCGATAAGATAGTTGGCCTTCGATTGGCTCCCCTCTGGTGGGCAGGCGATAAAAGTAGGTCGCACCGCTCTTGTCCACTGTAAAACTCAATAAATCCGGCCAGCCCGAAATTGTCCGCTGGTGTTGTTGCTGCGCATAAATCATGCTGCAACAGCAGCAGCAGCAGCAGCAGCGACTGTTGCTGCTGCCCACTTGACAACTGCTGCAGACATCAGGCGACCATGTGTTCGTCCCTTGCAGCGGGATTTTGGTGTGTTCTGCTCGTTACTGGTGGACTGGTGGTGTTAGTGGCGACATGCCGTAGGCGGGTGCACTTTGACCTTTCCAATGATTTATGCCCCGCAAAAACAAGAACAACAAACAAGAGCAGCGTGCAACAGCAGCAGGCGCAGCAGCAACTGCAACTGCAACTGCAACACTTGACATTTGTTGGACTTGGACAAAGGAAGCAAACTGTAGCAGTTGTCACTGGGCTTCCTGATTTATTATTCCACTAGGTCGTGGTCGTGTCTCCCCCTAATTTGCATTGGGCTGTTTGATGATTGATGAAGGCATCTGCCCCTTCTCCGAACGCAGTGAAAGTATTCCCAGGATGGGCGGATGCCTGGGCGGTAATGACTAATTGAAGAAGGCCTCGCAAGGTCAGGTGCCAGTCTTTCGGCCAGGTCTGATGGCTTTAACCTTGCTAAATTATGGATGTGTTTTCCTGCAAAGCTGATTGAATTTTCCGATAGGGGAAAACCAATGAAGATGGAGGCTGACGACTCTGACCTATGTGACTTTGCTGCATTTGAGCCCCCTTATGCTTGCTAATTAAGATTAGAAAGAGTGGACTTCCACTATCGCAGGAGGAATAGATAAGATAGCGTGTGCTAAATAAAAACTATTTTTAACAGTGGCTATCTCTTGTTAACCATTAACCTGCACAGTTTTTGTGACTTAAGTAACATTCAGTGTTCTTTAATAAGGATTTCCTGCTTGGGATTCCTTTCAGCCACTTGTGGACCCGATTTCGCGTTGGATGCATCATTTCAGCCGAAAATAATCTCATATCCGACCCAATCGAACCCCAATTCGAGGTCTGGGGCCTGCCACATAATAAAATGATTAACAAACTAATCCGTTCTGATTGTTTGTGGCGCACACAGTCACAAATCGAAGTGGAACCCCAAGGATCCTGACCAAGGCGACTTGGAGCCGCGAGCGTACAAAATAGCAAATCATCATTAAAATCTTGGACAGCTCCGGGAAGATCGGCGCAGGGAAGTGGAAGAGGCAAGCCCACAACGAAGTTGTATCCACACAGTCCAATCGAGTCCACTTTGATCCGCCGCCACAGTCTCCGCTGCAACTTCGAGGTACGAGTATTTTTGCTTTTTCAAGAATGGAAGACTCTGTCCCAGCGGCTGGTGAAAGATCGCGATTGCCGGCTCCATTATTTGTACAATTGCTGATTCGCTGCCTCTGCGCCTCGCCGACAAAATAATGCTACCCAGATAAATATGCCATTTGGCTAATGGTGGCACCACAAACTTACGTCGACCCCCTCGCAACTTTCGTGCTTTTCCGTGTGTGAACTTACCTGCAATGGAAGAAAAAAGAGATGGCAAAATTAGTTGATTGAAAACGCTGAAGTCGGCTAGCAGGGATTATATATAGACAAATATATATAAATATATAAAAATATACATAAATACCCATTCCCCTTACATGTCCCACCAATCCATAGATAATCATTTGATGGCTTGTTTATAGACAGCAATCGGATCAGCCCAAACGGCCATTTGGTAATCGTTTCGTCGGCATTTAGTACGCCGATGTTCTGAGCATTGTCAGTTAATTCCTTTATCGAATGCCCCGAGGAATCACAACAATGACTGGCTCTGGTTGTCCACGATCATGGCGATCAATGGGCACTCAAGGGCCTTCGCTCCCCTTTGCAATTCACTTTTTTAAGTTTTTGTTGTCGTATTTTATTGATTTCTTTCAAGACCGGAAGCCACAAGAGGCACGTCCAACAAGAGACAATGAAGATGCGACGATGACGATGGGATGGTAACAATATAATATTGGTGTGGAGCATTCAAATCAACAGCGCAGCTAAAGTTTTGAGCTCGTTTACATTTCCCCTCTTTGTTGCTTATCAAACAAGAGGGCAAAAGATTTGGATTTGGGTTTGCGTTCGAGGTTTCTGGTTTCTGGATTCTACAGCTCGATTTTGTTTGACCATTGTTGTTTGTTTTGATTCTGGGCTCGAGTCGAATTCGGTTTACTTTGCCAGCCGCTGATTTCCTCGGGGAGACGGGTACAACTACATATAGATGGGTATATAAAGTCGGCACTGACTCGTCCTTTTCACCAACAGCTTCATCATGGTCACGTCTGTGTTTGTGAACCTTCTCCTTCGTTTTCCCCACTTTTCCAGCTTGTCTTGCGGTCGGAAACAAGTTTTGTGTTCTGTTTTTTGTTTGCTGGGCTGTTTGGTTTTGGCTGTTGGTTGGTCGCCTTTCGGGAAGGGAACCCTGCCCAAGAACTACTTGTACAAAACTGGTTTTGCGCCTCAGCCACCTGTGACAGGTCGAGCGGCCACAAAAAACCAACGGACAAATGAACAAACTACGAAATCCAAACACGTGCCCAGCTCGGAATAATTTGCTGACTTGCACAGTGAAATGAATAAATATTTATAGTTTAATTACAAATTGAACGGGCGAGCTCAGGTGCGGCAGCGGTGAAACCAGGAGAAGCATTTGGGAATCGCGCAGAGATACTGCGCTTTTTGCCTCTGAGAAATACAAACTGGCCGCCAATTGGGAAAGACGCACTCGGACATTCAGTCAGTAAGGCTGTTAGTTTGTTAGTTGGTTAACCAGTTTCTTTGTTGGCTCGGTGCCGCAGTTGCAACTATTATCTGCGCGATATGAATATATTTCATGTGCAATCGACCACTCGCCACAATCGCCGGTTCGCCATCTCGTTTATCAGAGTGCAACTGTTTTAATAAGCGATCCCCGATAGATAAAAGCCAACAAGTTATTTAAGGCCAGCGCGAGTTGCCAATTTGTTGGCGTTTTGTCAGCCAAAGATTTATTAATTATGCATGGCAGCACTTCGAAAGTGGCACAAACGGTTGACGAACTGTCCTTGCCACGAACTAGAGTCTTAGCTGCTTGAAAAATTCTATAAGAAGCTGCCACAGCCTTACGTTTGGAGGGAACATACCATGTGCAGCACCCATTAAATTCCTGAATCAACCTTTATGATTGAACTTCAGCCGTCAGGTGAGGTCAGTCAATTAATGCTCAATTGAATCAGTTTGATATCTTTACATTAATCAATTAACAATTCAACCTTTCTCCAGCGTGCGGTCAAATTCACATCAATCATTTCACAGTCTAGTTATGCCCAACCATAACAATTGCCAAATATGTAAATTCCGAATAATAATAACAAAATACCGCGATGAATATAATCAATTAAGGCAATCAACTTCTGGCTTTCAACCCCTTGACTCCCCAATAAAAATTGTGATATCACCTCGACCATCTGGGATCAGTGCTCCCCAAACTGTCAGCGGCGCTTGTTCACACGCCATCTGACAATTTCACTTTCCACGGTTCCACGGTTCCATCCATGGTGGACTTCTTGGCTTCTTGGCCAGCTCGGGTTACCACAGCCATCGAGGACTGGCAGCTGTTAGAGCCGCTCATAAATAAACATGAAATGAACACGAAAAACGCCTTAAAAACAGTCGGCGCGTCGCTGGGGCTAAGCCTAAAAACCGCTTTAAAAACGCGCCAAATGTCGAGTGTGAGCAAAAAACTACTAAAAAATGGACAACAAAATGAAAAAAAAGAAAAAAACGTATGAAAAACAAACGTACTCAGCGTGCGGCATTAATGGCAACTTTATTTGTTTTGAAAGTTGACATTGATTGGACCCGCAATTGGCGACGAAGTCACTCGGTTTGTTGTCTTTAGTGCTTCGCCATTGATGTTGGATTGTCGTCGGAATGAGCTGGGTATATAGGTTGATATAAATGGGCATATTTCCTCAGGCCTCTTAATTCATTCAGCATTTGCGGATTAAATTGCGGTCACTGAGTACCCTAGCCTTAATGTTGAGAGCTTTCTTTTGTGGGTCTATCAATTGATGGTGATGGAGATTGTTGTAGTGTGGGATATACTGTGATATAAAAGGGATCCTAAGCAGATTCTTCTTGAAAACCCCATTGGAAGGTGAATGTGTAACATTGAGTAACCATTACTAGGATGTTAAAACAATGAACTTTCTTGCTCCAGTATGGATTTCAACAACATCATCGCCAACTCTCGAATTCATTGCGATATTCCTTTCCCACTGCAGGGCATTCCAATGGCTGGCAGACCCCATCATCGATGTCTGATTTCTTTCGTGGACATATCAATTGCATGTTCCGCAAACCAGGTCATCGGTTTTGGTCATCAGCAACTACAGATGCGACTGTGCCGTCGTCGTGGGATTAAAAGCCAATCGCTCGCAAACTGTAATGGATTACCATGGGACGTGAAACTAATGGGTGAAGACTCGGCCTGGCCTGGCGGCATTATATGCCAGATATACCCGTGCTGCTCATGCAACTTTGATTAAATCAATCAGCGCACAAAGCATCGCATCTAACGGCGACTGACAGTTGTGGCAGCTCTGAATGGGACTCGCTCTCCACCAGGTATTCTGTGGCCACTGTAGTCTCAGCTTCAGTGGAGTCGAGTTCATGTCCACAGCCCGGTGCTCCTGCATAGCTTGGCCATATTAGATGAGCTGCAGCTGGAGCTGCATTCGTAATGCCAAAGCCGGATGAGGAATTGCAGGTGAAGACATCAGCGGGCACAGAACACGCACCACATCAACTCTATAGCCGCAGCGACAAACCACACAGAATTTGTAGAATCCAATGCTGCATGCAGTTTGCCAAGTGGATATCAGGGGCAGTTTTCTTCTCTCACAAATGGCTCGAGTTTCTTAAAGCAGTTTGCCTATTTCCCTTTACATAAGGAAACTCAAAGATAGGTTGGTAGTAGATTGAAGCTGGTATAACTTGGTGAAGATGGTTTAAAAATGTAATTTAGGTACTGAAAACTCCAGTTAAGCCATATTGTTCCGTCAGTGCTGTACCTCACCTGTTCAAGATCCTCCTGAGGCGAAGTCGCCAAGGTCAGGGATCCACAGACCCCGCCTCCCACGCCGGATCCACTGATGGGCGGACAAGACTGCCGCTTGAAGTCCCTTCGGATTGCCAGTTCGTACCAGGGGATCAAGGGCTTACTCCGCAACGTGGTTTGGCATCCGATCTTGAAGTCCAACGGATCCATGTACTCCGGTGCCATCCGGTTCAGGTCGCTGACGGCGGCCTCGGCGGAGGCGTAAATGTTCCCGGCGGACTGGTTGCCTGCCCTGTAACGCCAGTGGCCGCCGCTGGCCACGTCCAACATGGAGCCAGTGGGCACATCCAGGCTGCGATGCAGTCCAGCGCCCATGCTCTTGACCCTCATGTGGCCCAGGGTGTGGTATCGCCTATCCACTGCGTTGGGCAGCATGGGCATGGCACTGGGAATCACCAGCAACTCATCCTGGTCGATGGTGGCAAGACTCTGGCTGGTGCAGGACCTCTCCAGCAGCTCGGCACTGTTGCTCCTTTGGGTCACAATCGGGAGCTCGTACAGATTAAGGCGAGGACTGGTCGGCGGTCGCATGGGCGTGGCATAAATCTTTGGCTTGGCATAGAGGCTTTCCCGGCGAACTGGCGCCGGAGGTGGTAGGCCTGTGGGCGATCTTGGTGTCTCGTTCAGGGACAAAGTCATGGGACGCCTATTGCCCGTTGAACCCACCGAGTTGTGACGCAAGGTCGGCGGCCTTAGACGCGGGCAATCCCTCTCCTGCATGTCGAAACTCATCCTAGGCGAGGGCGAGTAGCATCCGCGATCTGAACTGTCGTAGGAGCTCCGGATTCCACTGTCCAGTCTCCGTTTCGGGCTTTCTGGTGCAGTGTACAGGAAGATGGGCTCCTCCTCACCGGCAGTATTATAATCGGGCGTCTTTGGGGTGGCACTACTCTGCAGGGAATCCAATGAGAACCGGGAGTTCTTCTTCACATTCTGGTAATCACAGGGCATGCTGCCTCCTCCCGAGGAACTCGAAGCGTCCGAGAGAGGGCGAAAGGCCGAGGGATTGGTGTATATAGGTTCCAGATCCCCGATGGTCGGAGTCCTGACAGGTTTCGCCCTGGCGTAAATCTCCTCGGACTGTCCGCCCGGCATACTGTAGTTACTCCTCAGGGATATGGTCCTCTGTCTTCGGGGCTTCTGCAAGACCGGCGGGAGCTGAGCTCCATTCTCCGATTCCGCCCTTATCGATCGGGATCGGGTCAATCCGCGGGCTCGTATCGTGGCATAGCCATCGTATATAGGCGCCGATAGCGGCGATGGAGGCGGCCTATTACTCGCACTGACTGCCGACATTTTTCAGATATTATTTTTGTGTAGTTCTATGACTCTTGCTTACAGCGTTTTCATGCTGGACCGTCTGTGGTTTTGTTCACTTTAAACATTGATTAATTGCTGCGGCATTCAAATTGGGGTTTATCATTTATAAGCAAAGAAATATAAAGTTTGCCCCACTCGCGCACTCGATTGTTCATTGCTAGGGCCCCCACTGGGACTTAAGAGATAAGACTGCATCAATCATTTTTAATTGAGCCCGGGATTCATAAATTGAAGCCGCTGGTCCAACGAACTC